TAATCATATTCAAAATTATTCAAGCATCAAGTTAAGACATTTTAAATATGAGGATATATGATTGGACAATCAAACTTCTCTTTTAAAAACATTTAAGGGAAAGAATGTTGTTTTTGAGATAGTTACAGTTTCTAACAGTTTTTAAAAGTGTTTCTGAAAACAAAATTAATCAATATACAGTATTGATATGCTTTCTTGTGAGAGGGCAGGAATAAATTAGGATGCAATATCGAACCCACAAGAACAACACAAAACTTCAGTTTTGAAATTATGTTTTCAGTAGTTTGCAAGAGAAAGCCATACAAATTTAGTTTTGCATGGCTTTGCCTCTGTAAATGATGTGTTCAGGTTTTTGTAACTGCATGCAAAAAGGGAGTTTGAAAATAGAATAAGAAAGATGGTCAGTTTTGAGTTTTGTAAAGAAATAGAGAAATATATTTTTCATCTTGGCACAAGTGTGGGACAAAGAAAACATTCTGAGTCCCTATGAGGAATTGAACCTCAGACCTACTGATTCCGCACTCTAATGCTCTACCACTAAGCCACAAAGATTCTAAGGTGAGTAAGGTCTATTATGAAGTTCATATGACATCAAGTGTCCAGCATACTGCTAGGATTGTAGTAACACATTACACAAACTCTAATCACCTGATCACTAATAAAAGTGTCAGTAAAATAAAACTTAACTTTATTAACTGATTGTAGTTGTACAATACAAACTATTAGGGCCAAGAATCAATGTCCATAGGTAAATTTTGTATAGTATTTTGTTCATATTAGTTTTCACCTCTATGTCTTACGATTAGATCTATTTGCAAATACTGATGCTAAAAACTTATTCAGCAACCAGTGGTGTTTTGTGGAGGACAATAATAATTGGTTAATTTAAAGCTGGGCAAAACTCACAGATAAAATAATTAAAAGTGGTGATAAGAGTTCCAGCCTGACTACACAATCTTTTGGTTTTGTTCTCACAATGCAAATGAATTCATTCGACATGACTGGAATGCTTTTGAACATTGTACAATGCCAGGTATGAAAATCTTAAAAAAAACTGCTGTAAATAAATAATCAGGCAGATTTTAAAGTCGCTGCACCACATTAATAATACAGTCTTAAAGCCATTTGTATATGTATTTCAAACAAGGCTTGGTGTCCAAACTGGTAACTATCTGACATCATTTAAGCCAATTCTGACATGTTATATAATGCTATGGCTATGATTGTCAACTTCAGTTTAGCTGAAAAGTTGCCAACCACCCCTACCCCCAAACACACAAACACACACAACCCTAACCTACCAGAAAACAAAAATCATTTCATTTGACTAGCACCAAAAGAGTGCATGGAAGAAAGAGGGAAGGGAACCTCTGGAAATATGGATCAAAGTCTGCTGTTCTCAACCCTTTAACAACTCCCAGGATCTGATTGTTGATTCTCCCCTCTAGCTGCTACACATTACCTTATAAATTAATTGCAAGAATTTGGTGTTAGATCAAGACCACAACTTCTACCGGGTACATTTGAGTATTCTCATTACCTGTTTGTTGGATAGTGCATGGATGTTGTAGAGAGAAGTTACATGTGAATCACTTCTGGGAGTTAAAGGGTTAAAAATAATTTTCCAGTTGTGATTGAAAGCTAGAGACAATATTACAGCATT